CATTTATTTTGTAAACACGACCATCATCAATACTTACATATCGTTGTCCTCGTTACATTATGTCAGTCCACAGTCTGAATTGCAGTACACAATACAGATCAAATACCATTTTCAACATATAAGTTTCAAATTTTGCAACATAATCCCTGATGCTACATCATTTTTTCAGTGTACACACAAATGGTGTAATGCAAGATCGAGTGAGTCAACACTAGTGACAAGTAGAACTGGGCGTTGTTTGCAAGTCCTATCTTCGTTGATTGCCAATGCTAACAAACATCAATGTTGAGATGTAACTTTAGTCAACACCATGGAATCAATTAATAACCAATCTTTAAATCAGTGAACTTGAGATATTTTCCAAGTATATTATTGGTTTTAAGTAACTGCTCTATTTCATTGCGCATCATTGTCCTGAAATGACTTACATGTTTGTGTCACAGACATTTTTGTATATTATGTAATACCTATTTACATTTCGGTGTTCATCTTTTACATCTTGGAAAACATTTATACATTCAATTCGCCGAAAACGATTGCGAGCACAGATCTATAATGACAGAGAAGATTAAGATTTAAAAAAAATGTACCACTAAATACCTTAATTTGCTGAAAATGTCATTTATTTGATTTTTAGTGTAAAATCAAATCAAACACTTTTCGTAAATCTGACTGTGGTGAAACTGGCAATGATTAAATTTGACAACGGGTATCATGCGTACTTTGTTTTGCAATTTCTTCTCATCAAACAACTAAAGATTAATGATATGTATGCCCTACAGGTTCATGACATGACGCATTATGTCTGTTTAACCCAATCATTCAATGCCAAAGTCGCTCAACAGCTATGCACGGTAAAACTATCATTACACCTTGTTGTCAAAACAACTCAATTTCGCCTTCAATGGTAAATTCTGTTATTTTAAAACAATCCTGAGAGACTTTGTAGCTATAAGATTTTCATTAAAAAGTCTCAATTTTATTACAGCTTTTGCACTCCACTCTTGACAAGGTCTTGTTCATATTGAGGAACGTTCATATTTTGGAATCGCTCAGCCAACTCGACATGGTCCTACATGCATATATATGCATGTGTTTTTTTAATTCAACCAACCAGTTATTGATAAACTCAGTACCACCTAAGTTAGTTTGTTTAATACGTTGCAGACATATTCCTGAAATCTTATTAAAATGCATACATGTCCGTATTCAGTGAACGTTCTGTTTGATTTAGTATATGTGAACATGGGGTACCATTATTGAAATCGTCTATTTGAATATCAAGTATTTGGGTCGTTACCTTATCGCATTAAATGTCGTAGACTGACTAGCGATTTTTAGCCATTTGCATGAATGAATAACTCGAATCACGCCACGAATACAACTCGAGAACACCCACTATGCCGTTGATTACAATGCCTCCCAGGCTAAACCCGGTGAAATATTAGACGTTTATTATAATCCAAGGACATGCAGAGAACAAGGTAGTTAAGAATGTGGGTGCAGATTGTCAAGATATAATGTTATAAAAACCTATCACGATTTCTATCTGCGCCAAGATGTTAGATACGTTATAAAACATTATAGAGTATCATCTGAAGGTCTTGATACAATAGTGTTTCTAACTGATAAATAAATGATGAAGTATCATGTTATACAACATATTATGTTATATATAATAATATAACTGTATCTCAGCTTATTAAATTGCGGTTGTTTTTCGTGATTAATGTCTAAGAATCACAAACGTTTTTGTCCAAAATCATAAATCGTACAATGGCCAGAGAACGTTTTATTAAATTGTGTGCTAACTGATTCAAATGATGTTTTTTATGAAAATAAAAACTGTGTCCAGATAATTTTGTATACGCCGTCGATTTTTACACTGTTTACTCTTTTGTAGGTTTTTATTTGTAATGTTTTACTTAAAATACATCACAAAATTCAGACAACTGAGGAGAAATAAAAGGTGATGGGGATTTAAATCCACCTTCAATTGAATTTCTTGTTTAAAATAAACGAAGATATGTTCTTATTTACATTATCGCCCTCTTTGTCTCAGTATTGAAATATACATTTTTAAACGGCCATCAGATCTATTGATTTAATTTGTTAATTAAAGGTTATGTATATAAAACTATGTGGAGACATTGCTCATGCAGATGGATACTTTTTTTCAGCCCGAATTAATTATGTAAAACACATGCAGCTATGTAAATAAAATCATAAAGTGAAAGATTTCTATTTCCGGTCCGTTTTGTTTCACTGACAATAGCGTAGACGTGTAGAAACAGCTGACTGGAATTATACGAATACAAGACAATAAAATATAAATATCTGCCCAGAGCCATGAGTGGCTTCTATGATAGTAGCAAAATATTTCACTTAACTTGATGTTGTATTGTACACAATCAATATGAAATGACAATAGAGTGGTCAATACTATGAAAGGTCAACATTACATTAGAGAATCGTCTGATTCCAGGTAGCGCTTGCCATCAAAACTACACGAATAAAATAGTACGTTTTAAAATATTTAACCACCTTCCTATAATTTTAACCAAATTAGGAACAATTGTTCAAAACACATAACAACAATCACAAAATATAGCCCTTATTTTTTTGAGCATGCTTTAAATATTTTACCACTTTGTCGTTCCATTACTTTACTGATGGACCTTTGTACAAATACTGGTGATTAACTTTTTAGAACCAATTTTCCTAGACACGTCTCAAGGAAAAATGGATAAACGCAGTTAAAACCCATTGTATTGCAATTATAATTATTTTGAGCTACAGCGCTCCACCATTTAATATGATATGACTAAATCGAGTTTCGAAAAAAAAGCTTTTTACTTTGATGGTAAATTATATAACGGAATAGTCTTTCACGGAAATCACAAAAGAACTAAAATAAAAACGTTGAGATTGTGGATGGAAACTGAGAAATTAACTTTAAAATATATACATATTTCAAGTAAGTTAGACAATACAGAAGGGCTTGTTTTCACGTGCATGTCATTCAGGTATGTTTGTCTACGTGATTAAGAAGTACTCTTCAGAATGAAATGTGTGAACAAATCATAGAAGGCTATCAACTTTTAATATTTCATATTTTCTTTTAAATAACAATTATGTATACACATTTTACGTTTTTATCTTGTTCAGAAATTGTTTTCTCATTTTTACAACATATGGCACAGCAACAAGAACATTGTATGAACGTTTGGTATGTGGCATCCTGTGTTTACATTGATGAACGGTGGCGCGTGTCTAGACTTTTGTTTTTCCATGTTTTTGAAACGAAGTTGATCACATCGCATTTTCTTGTTTCAACAACATAACGTTTGATGTTTTGTGAAACTATACGTTCGCCCTCTACGACAAGAAATATTTGTGTGTGTACATCGACCTCTGAAGGTCTGACACCGCACACTCGTTTGTGTGTTTCTATCCAAAATAAAAATATTAAAAAATTAAAAAAACTGAATCTTTATCTGCAATTTATGCTTGTAATCAGGTTTTCAATAGTAAAACAAATGTTGTCCAGTCGAAACCCACAACATGTCCACTGCAATGACCGCTGTATATAAACAATGACGATGAAAAATGAAGTAATTGAAAGACGGTTTCTCATATCCCGAAGGTCGGAATTTCCGAGGCCCATCGGTGTTGTCAATAAAAACAAATACCTCAACATACGTTCGATGTACTAGTAACTAGCGTCAGCAGTCACACGTCGCGTTTCAGGGAAAAACGCAAAGAAACAAGACCATGTAGATGACAGCTATTGATTGATGACTTTGTCATAGGAATCCACAAATCACATTAGCACAAACGACCATGGTTTGTTACAAGATCCGGATTCATGATTTTGTTTTTGGCAATTTCCTTTGGGACATTTATGATTTGTATCGAATTATTTCTAGTACACAGAACTCAACATCGGTCAAGTGCAATCGTACCTGTGTTTACACGAACCATTTAATTGTCGGTGCTTCTAAATTTGTTTACTTTAGTTTAATTTTTTAACGAGATTGCAACTGGTCCGTACAATGTGACTGTTGTCCTATTAACTGATTTCCCGTTTCAGCCAACGTCAAAACATTTTTGGATTTACTATAGTCAACTCTTTAAAATTGTATACTATTGAAGCGAACATTCCCTGCCTGTCACCACAGAGGGCGTGGCGCATAAGCTTGTCGGGTGGTCCGGTACTGTATTTGCGTTATTCGTATGGATGTTACTGTATACTAGTAGATTCAGGTCCAGAAAAAAAATTACGAGACGAGCGAGGTACCCATATCTGCCTTCTGGCTACAAACATCTGCACTCTGCGTTAACGGTCAACACCCTCGCTGTATAGCTCAGCTTGGGACTGAACCCTTACTATCAAAGCGCTTTTAAGTCTCGCCGAACATCGTGCAAGTGTTACTGTAGAAGTTACGTTGGTGTTTATTCGACTAAATGATTGAAATCGATATATATATGATATTTATGTAATCAAATGTTGATGTGAGTGCGCCAACTACGTCCTGACAAATGCGCCGTGACCTTTGACTATAAGCGAGAGCGCACAACCTAAACCATCACCCGGATCGATTTCTACCTCCCCGAGTGGTACAACGAATCCCGTCCACCAACTCCAAGACAGGCCAAACCCCTCTCTTTGCGAGGCGATCCAAAAAACAGCCAAGCCCCCGTCTTTAAACTATAGTATATATGAGGTCAACTTAAATGGCATTCATGTATCTCTATGCCCTGACGTTGGTGGCACTATAACTACAGATATGGTACTTTTATTATGCAGTTAGTTACCCAATGTTTGGATATACGTGAACTTTCGAAAAGATTAAGATGTCCTCCGCGCGTAATACCAAATTCATTCGTTATAACCATGAAATGAAATTACCAACAGGGTGGTAAAAATGTGGAAAGCTTTATCTGAACTGATCACGTGTGCACACGTTTCATATCAAGAAACAGGTCATGACATCTAGTGAGAGCAAATTATTAGCGTTTATTATATTCAACAAACAATACTACTAGAACTAAACAATAGACAATGTACAATACTGCTAGAACAAAACAATAGACAATGTACAATAGTATTGGAACAAAGCAATGATCAAAATATAATAATGTAAGATACTTTATTTTAGCTGGAATTATTTTTTGCTGAAAACACCTTTTGGGTGTTTTGTGTTTTGATTTGATTTGAAGAGTTGAATGTAAAACATAGGGAAATATATATTCGTTGGACTTTATTTTCACTGAATCATCCGTTCAGCAGAAATAGCGAAATAAATTCCAAGCGAAAATAAAGTATCTTACAGTGGTTTCGAGATAAAACAATAGTACCGGGACAAAACAAAGAATACAATACAATAGTTTTGAAATTAAACAATAGTAACTATAAGATAATCAAGTTAACAATGGAGATAAGAACAAACGGGAAGATATCATTACATAGAAGTATGACATGAAAAACAAAAAATAGTAAACTTGTATGCAGGATCTATCACAATGGAATTACTGGTATTTTGACATTTAGTCAGTTTTAAATGGACTTCTCCGTCACAATATGTCTCCAAGTAGATTGCGTTTGTTGTTTTCGACACAATGGGCTAAGGTAAACATGTACACCGTCCCTGACGTCACTGTCTGGCGTCAAGACAACAGTAACATGACACATGTTGAAGAATTTAAATAAAATTGTGGACAAATATTGAAAGAATTACATATAATATTTTGAGGATTGTTTGTCTCAAAACAAAAACAGTAGTATTACAATATTTTGAAGAAAAGTTGACATTACTAGAGCCAGTTCTGTAGTATTGTGTGATTATGATGTGGCGCGGTTAAAATGAACTAAATTCCGTATATAGAAATAACGATAATCACTGCTTCACGTGACATCATTGCTATTGTTATATGATGCTAAACTAGTCTACAAGCTGTACACGCTGCGTCTTGGCGTCTTTACGACAGTTTACTGTATTCATCTACGAGGATATTTTCAGTTCTTGTCGCTGAAGACATTTGTTTACAGCACTCTTCCCTAACGCCATATTACTTATTTGATCGGATTTTCTTTGTTTCGTCTTCTTTATTCTTGTCAAGATCAGCTGGCACCATTGTAGTAGTGGAAGTAGTGCCTAAAATTGTCAAAAACATGAAATTATACATTGAAATTGAAATAAAATGAGCTGGGTGTGGCTAATTGTGTTTCTTAGACATACACAGCGACATTTTTTTTAAATTACAAAGACGTGTTCGACATATTGGTGTAAACAATCCAACACTGGGCCAAATTGCGTCACGGTGAATGTCAAGTACTACAAAGATGTCCGAAATGTGAGATCGACTGGAAAGCTCGATTATAATTACCTACCAGTAATAAGAAAATATGTCAGGCGGAGTAATTTGATCGAGAATAAAATGTTGCTTTTTTTTCTATTTGAAATCATTTGCAACACACTTACCAGTTGTGGTTTCTGTCTTGGAGTCCATTATCAGTCTTCTTTGCGCTGCTTCTTCGGGCTAATTCTGCAACGTGTTTCTTCTTGTCACCAATGAAAACGATAAAAAAATGGGACAGCTGCAAGACAAATTTGAACGGCGTATGTGCGGGTTGGACACTCCTATCGCACTGATATTTTCCACTGCGTTGTGCAGAGAGCTACACTATATGTTTACCCATTATTGCCATACCAACACAGAATATTCATGCACCTTATTGGCTAACTGGTTATCATGTGATGACATCGTGCCTTCATTATAATAAGTCAGTATGATATCATCATTATTTTTAAATGTTTGGGAAAAAACACTCTACTCGAGTTTACTCAATAATTCTCAGAAAAATGACACGTTAAAGAGACGGGCGAATGGCGAGTTGCTCCCCTGGTCTGAATTATAGTACCTACTATTTGTGCTCAATCATCCATCCACCCTGTAGTGAGACGAGTATTTGTTTGCGAAAAAATCATGTCATTGTTTATTCTACATAAACATTGTTTATAAATAAATTAATTAATTAATGCCGGAACGACTTACTAGTTCACTAATCGAAAACTGGCTAGGCCGGGTTCATCCGTGCTCTAAAATAATGACTGGGGCTGGGGTGATCAGGTGCAGTCAACGGAGCTGTTTGTGAAAAAAATTGTTCGAAAGGGATTTTTAGCGGGCAGGCAAAATAAAACACATCTTCAGTGGGAGGGCATTAAAACTAGAGTTTCTTAGAGGGGAATTCCAGTAGGAGAAGATTTTTATTCAGAGGGCAGGCAAGTTCCATTTTTATAGATTGAGCGGGTAAGGGTAAATGCTGTTATTTTCCGCGGGCATCAACAACCAAATTGCCAAGGGGGGCGTGTTTAGACTGGCCAAAGGGGAGTAGTCCAATGGCGCAAACTGCATGATAATATCCGCCCGAGGCAGACTTGCCGTTCCATTTGTGGCACTTAGCACATGATCAATTTGACTGAACGCCACCACCGATGACAATCTTCGCAAACAATGCCTGTATTTTGCAGTCCAGTGCACATTAGTTTTGTGGAGAGGGCAATCTAATGAAATTAATCCTTCCTGGGTTTTCCTATATCATATGCATACCCTTTTTAGCAAGGTTGTTACTGGCGTCACGGTTCGTATATGAAAAATAAGAAGCGCTTATTGCGGGAGGGGTTATACGCACTTCTGTTGTAACAATTAATTAAAATAATTTAATACATATCACCATTGAATTCGCCTGCTATAAAAAAACACGTAATGTAATGTAATTCACATGAGTTTAAGGATTAGAGCTGGTGACCAATCGAGACTTTAACTTCTTCTCTGGGAAATGATAGGGAGAAGATAGCAGAAACTGTTGAGAGGGGAGAATTAAAATAGTATGAACTGGGTGGGAGAGAGTAGATACAACTGCGCGTCGAGAGGGTAGGCAAAAAAATGAGCGGGGAGGGGGCAGTATGTAGCAAAATTGAGTGGAAAGAAGGCAGCAGGGGACAACAACTGAGTGGGGAGAGCAGTGGGAGCAAAACCGAATGGGGAGAAGGCAGCGGGGAACAAAAACTGAGTGGGGAGAGGGCAGTGGGAGCAAAAAACAGTGGGAGGGCAATTTAATTTGGTTAAGAGGGAGGGGAGTTGCGAACAGATTGACCTCCCCCCTCCAAATTAAATTAAGCCTTAATAATGTTCATGATTCAGGTTACTGATGATCAAACAAAAATACTAAATATTTTTGCAAATTTACTCGTTGACTGCACCTGGGTGATGAACGTGACGGCGATGTATTCGGAAAGAGGAATGATTTTGAATGTATCTATGAAGACTGTAGAAAACGTAGCAGTCATTAACGTACTATTCCATTATACATGCGATAAAAATATCATTGTATCAATTTATTCGTAAAATGGGGTTTCCATGGGTTTTACCTGCGATGCCGTGAGTCAGACTCCAGTTCAAACTTTCACGACCCACAATTCATCGCGCCTTACCCGGAAGTTTCTATAATAAACATGGCGCCCAGTGGAGATGTTTGGTAAGTACGCTCTCGGTGTGTTTTTGTGTGGAAATGTAGCCCTAATGAGTTTCATTGTGAGTGGAACTACTAGTATTTTGAATTATACTACTTGATAACGTGAATTTATTCACCATAAGTCTAAAAAGTTGGCAATGTTTTGCTGCTAAATCGTCAAAAATAGTATACACTTCCTGGTTATCGAGATGGTCACTGTATTAGTGTAAAACATTGTGTTCATCACGTGACACTGTGTAGGAACATGTGTGGATCCTACCATTAATTAGGCAGTGTCGTTGTGTTTACCATCAGGTTTGTAATAAAAACACTGTATATTTGACGATTGGTGAAGTATCAACTGAGCCTGTGTACGTTTTAGGGTTGGTGTTTACATTGGGTGTTGACGCCGGTGATGACCGAACTCGGCCAGAGTTTGAAATCGGGCAGTGGGTTAGGTGTTAATTGGTCGGGTTGGTCATAGAACTTAAAGCCTGAGGGTCGTCACCTGCGCACGCACAGGAATTGAGTCCCAAGCGATGATAACAACACATGCTAAGAACGCAAAGGCTCATGGGTAGACACTTGTTTGACAATGACACGCTATGGCCATTTGACGAATACATAGGTAATGACTCCATCGCTTTAAAATACATATTTTGGTGTTAATGTATCATTTTTTAACAGATCCAGCATTCCCATTCACGTACTGCAGTACGTAATTCACGTATAAATAAAATAGTGCGCGCCAAATCTCAACTCATCTACGTTCCATTTACGTATAAAATTATTTTGCGCGTACGTTTTTCATAGGTCTACGTCAACGTTAATTTAGCCTGAAAATCATTGAACTCCGCGCAGACATTTGACAACCGGCTTGTAAGTTACGTAAAACGTCGGGTGTTGAACGCAAGATGGAAAAGCCAAACAGTAGGTGTAGTTTTTTGTAACAGAAAAAATGATTGGTTAATTTTGTAATGATGATGGAAAAATCGCCAATCAAACGACCGTTTATGTGATAAAACATCAGTGACGTCATCGTAAACGACGGTCATTGTAGAAGAAAATGGCGGCATATTAGCTCGTAGTTGCTTGCAGTTAGCGAGGACCTTACACGTTTAACTCGAACATATCAACTGTATAACTGGTATGTATTCTGTTTTCAAATTATTTTCGCTGTTTTTAAAGTAATCTCTGTAATTTTGAACAACGTATTCATTGATATTTGCTTGCATAATGCGT